AAAAAAAAAAGTGGTGATGGTTGCACAACTCTGTGAATTTACTAAATGCCACTGACTTGGTACACTGCAATGACTGAAATAATATGTGCATTTCACTACAATAAAAAATAATTGGGGGGAAAAAAAACAAGAATGTAAAGAAACTGCTACCATAGTGAAAAATAACTCATCAGAGGGGGTTTAAGAGAGACAAAAACAAATAACCAACCTGGAAGTGAAGCAGGATACCGCAAAAGAATACTCCTAGCATACACTTCTTCCGAGGCAGGATCAAATGAAAGGGGAGACATTGGTGGTAAAAGATCCACAGCCTTAAAACACAGAAATCATCATTTTGAAATAAACACATTTACTCGTTACCATAGTAACAGTGCTAAATTAATCTATGAATGGATGATTTTCCCCCTAGCAAAGATGGAATTACCAAGCATGGCAATTATCTCATAACTATTTTTAAACAAAGGAGTACAATATTAGAACAAGGGGACTACTCTGTCCTCCAACTGTGCCTCAAATGCAATACTACCTAACAGCAAGAGAAAAGTCTCATTTTCTTTTTAATATAATCCTCTGAGTCTAAAAATATTAACTATAAATCAGAAGGCAACCTGATAAATACTTGAATATGTATTTAGAAAATTAGAGAAACCAAAACATTTAAACTTTAGGCTCAGATGCCAAGATGACAAACACGCAAAGCATTCCTAGATCACTTGTAACATGATAAATCAAAAGACTGCCTTACACTAAACTACTCTCCAAAAGGCAAGCCAACACTACTTACTGGAGTCGAACCTTTAACTAGACTGAAAGGAGACAGACCAAGAAATTCTTTCCACTTTTTATGCCATTCTCCTTGCCTTTCAGCAACAGAATGTTTTATAGTTGTGAGATCTTCTTTTACTTTACACCTATGATAAAAAAAAAGAATTTCCTTCAAAACATGAATATATAAAACAAGTATTGAATAAAATTTAAGACAACAGTTTGTAGAGAAAGGGAAGAAAATATAATTGGAAGTTCAACCAATACAGCATGTATGAAATGAATAAACTCTCACAGTGAACATTCAGTTCTGAAAATACTTTTCCTTTTAAGACCAGAAAGCAATCATACATCAATTATTCCATTTATCCCTTTAAAATATTGTTTTTTCCTAGTTCTAAACTCAAGTCCAAACTCTACTCTTACTCTGTCCCTCCCAGCTCCTCCACTCAAATAACAACTTTTTCTGAGGCTTAGTTTATTAGTTTTATTATACAAAAGAAAAGCTTGAGAAAAGTTGAAATTATTTCATAAAGAATAATCCCTTAGGGCAAATAATATATTCTAGAAAGAAAACAACATTAATTTTCCTTTCTACTTTATGTGTCTCCCCAGGAGTTGATGACAAGGTTTTTAAGTTCTAATAAAATGCTCACATTAGTTTGCCAAAGCTGAAGAGTTGTCAACTACACAAGTTGTGCTGAGAAATTATCAAAACCACCCTATTCCTCCCCCAGTACCATAACAAAAGATATTTCTGGGATACCTCATACGCTTCAGATCTGATAATCTTTCTCTCTGAAGTTTGGTCTCTTTTTCAAGGAATTGAAGGTCTATTGTCAGTCTTGCTGGGTCAGCCTGATAACGTTCGTATTTCACTACTTTCAAAACTTCATTTAATAACTGAATAACTGTTAACAGGTTCAATTTTCCAGCCTCATAAACATTTCCTATGTGCAACTAAGGATTCAGAGGAGGGGGAAAAAGTGGTTCGTAAGATTATGAACTGTTACATAAATATATTTATGTTTCTTATTATATAAAAAGCTTACCTTAAGAGTGAAAAAAGTCAAATGTCTACCCAAAACTGAAACCAAGTAAATAATTTTGGTCCAAAGAAAACTACTGTGAAAGAATTAACATGCAGTGCTATATTGTTGTATTATGCAAAAAAAGTTGCAAACTAGAATAAAAGAAATGCAAACAAACAGAAAGCAAAATGAAGACTGAGAAGAAAAAGCAGGTTTGGTGAAGGATCATAAATTCATGTTTTGTTTTGTTTTTAAAATTTTTAAAAATTTTTTGATGTTATTTATTTGAGAGAGAGAGAGAGAAAAGCAGAGAGGGAGACACACAATTCAAAGCAGTCTCCAGGCTCCAAACTGTCAGCACGGACCTGGATGCAGGGCTCGAACCCAGAAACTGTGAGATCATGACCTGAGCTGAAGTCGGACCCTCAACCGACTGAGCCACCCAGGCACCCCCATAAATTCATGTTTTAACAGAAGTTGCAAATTGATGTCCCTTAATGGCTGAATCCAAACATGTTTATTTGGCCTGCACAACTCCAGTATTTTAAAATCATTTGAATTAGCTGCCAATCAACTAAAAATCTTAAAATTTCACATAAATACTAGTATTTTTCCAAAAAGAAATATATATGTTCCAAAGAGGAATATATATGCTCCAAAGAGCATATATTACCTACCTACTCCCTGTATACAGGAATCTGAACTTGCAGACTTTTATGTACTCTGAATTTGAAGTGCCTGGCATGTTACCTATTAAAGTGAAAGCTCTTCAGGGTCACAACAATGTTTCACCTTCCTATCCCCTATGTTATCATTAATATTTGACATATTAGATACTTAATAGAGTGTGAGTTTACTAAGAAAACAAATGTATGTAGCCAGATGGAAATGTTTCCTAAGCAAGTGGAAATAATTTCATGGAGTTTGGGTTGAAGGCAAGAAACTTGAAATACCAATTTGGGAATATTATTGTACAGGATACTGATGAAAACATAGAATTGAGTAAGAAAAAACAGATGAATATAATGTGGGGAAAAGCAGGCATTAATGGAACCATGGAAAACACTTTCATTTGAAAGTCAGAGAAAAAGGAAGTGGCAGAAAACTGAGAACAGCAGTATGAAAAAACACAAGAACAAAGGCACTGAGGTCACAAAAGCTAATGGAAGCAAAATTTTACAATACTTAGCATCAAGATGAAAGAGAAACCAGAGGATAGAGCCTTTTTTTAAAAAAGGTTTTTATTATTTTCAAGTAACCTCTACACCCAACATGGGGCTCAAACTCACAACCCTGAAATCAAGAGTTGCATGCTCTACCGACTGAGCCAGCCAGGCACCCCAAAAGACATTTTAAAAAGAAATTCAGCAATTAGGAGATCATTAATGCTCCCCTTTGAGAATTTATAAAGAACTAGTACCAAGGGTGTCTGGATGGCTCAGTCGGTTAAGCACCCAAATTCAGCTCAGGTCATGATCTCACAGTTCATGGGTTAGAGCCCCGCATCAGGCTCTGGAATGACAGCCTGCTTAGTATACTGTGTCTCCCTCTCTCCCTTTCTGCCCCTTCCCTGCTTGTGCTCTCTCAAAAATAAATTAATAAACTTTAAAGAACTATACCAGATCATCTTCCTACTAAGTAACCTCCTTCTCCTCTCTACACTGTATGATGTAACACCATAAAAGAAATGAACAAATTAATAAAAGCTTGTGTGTGTGTGTGTGTGTGTGTGTGTG